CCCCAAAACCCCAAAACCCCAAAACCCCATGTCTAATGTGTAAGTAGTCCATATGATGACGAAATTTAAAATTCAATTTGGGATAGTTTATATTAGCAATTTACTAAGCAATATATTTATTAATCATAATGTTATCAGACGAAACTTGGGCAGTTCTTTTTATGATATATCAGTGCATTCCTAAAATTGGATTGGTATAAACAAAACATTTTAAATCTTCAAAATTTTAGGCACTTACATTATCTCATGCGTTAAGCCCATTGCCCGCTATAATTAGAGGACTTAAGGATAAAAATGAATTGAAAGGTATTTCAAGAGGCTGGATTTTTCTATCTCTGAATAATAATGTGATCATGGGGACATATACTCTGCTCAGAGGTCTAACAGATTCTATTATCGGAAATGTCATAGGTATATTAAGCAGCATTTACATTATTAATAGGATTTCTATCGAATCTCTTAACTTTGAGTGTTTATGACATCGCAAATAATGATTTAAAGACACTCTCCATGTGCTTGCTCTATTTCGCCTCAGTTTCATTCGTTTTACAAACTTTTCTACCTCTACATATAATCGGTTAAGTAGCTTTTGTAGCTAATTCAGTTTCTGCAGGGGTAGGTCCTCTGAGTACTATTTGTTATCTATATGAAACGGGAGATAATTCTTATATCAATATTCCTATGTTTTTATTCGGAGGTCTTAAGTTTTCAATTTGGTTCACATATGGATTGGTTGAACAAGCTTTTCCAATTTTATTTTCTTAATTTTTTGGACTTTTTGTTGTTTCAAATGCATTCTTAGTCTATTATTGCAATTAAAGTAAGATAATTCAAATTAATTTCATAACTATCAGAGAATTACTAGAGGAATTCGATTGCTTTACTAGTTCCTAAGCTTTTGACTATCATCTATAAATTAGGAGCTAAATTAGTCGGCAGAGAAATGATTATTAAGACAGTAAATAATGAAACTAAAATTGACAAAAAGTCATCTAATAGTAAGGGCAAATCGAAGGAAGACTGAATAAACTCAAGCCACATACTTTGAAAAAGTTTAAAGACAAGTATTAAAATAAATTTTTGCTAAAGTATCAATTTGTTAAGCTTTTTTAATGCCCATAATATTAAATCTTAATTTACTGATTTTCAATAAACTCATAAATTTAGTCTTTGAAGTATTATGAGATCAGAAATCATTAACACTGGATTGATCATCAATCCTTCTAAACTCTGACTCATTTTCTTCCTCATCGCCGTACTCTACTTCGTCGTAGTAATGTTAGAGTTCTGTTTCATTATCAACTATGTATACCTCACTTTGCATATCCATTTGACTACTTCTCTCTGACATCCTTGCTCTTTTGTTGTTATTCTTAGGGAATTAGAAGATTCCAGAGTTATTACTATCCCTCTTTTTCACCTCTGACATTCTTGATGTCATCATCTTTGGATCATAATTGTATCCCACCATTTGAGTTTTTTTCATTGCTACTTCCTTTATATCAATCTGTTTCCCTTAATCGAGTGACTTTGATCTTTTCTTCTGTTTCTTATTATCGCCATCTTCTTATTTATAAAATTCTGTTACATCTAGCTAATCCTCATCTCTCAATATTATAAAGTCAGTAAGATTTGAATCGTCATCATATTCCTCATCATAGTAATCATCCCATTAAGCCTCCCCTTCCATCATTATTGTGCTCTATCCTTAACTCATGCCATCCATTTAGAACTTCTACTAACCTGAAAACCTATTTTTCTGATAAGGTAGACTTCTCTTTCCGTCCCCAGTAACTTTTGAAAAAAATTACTGTGATCCTTTACTGAAAACTGATCCACTATCTATTCTCCTAAAAGAAGTTTCTGACATTCCACTTTTCATTGATCTTGAATCATCTATTCGAGCAAAACTTGTATCTGACTGGCCATCAATTTATGATCTAGTTTCATCTCCCCTTTAAAAATATGTGGTCTAAGAGCTCATGCTTTATCTTTCGAATTCGGTCTAATCATCCTAATACTTTTCCATTTCAGTCTGGTCACTTCCCTATGAGTTATTATTTCTCTCCATTTCCAAATTATTCGAAGAGGTAAACTTAAACACCGAGAGCTTTGGCTTCTTAGGCATTGTTTTTCTTGATTGTCTAAATCTATTACTAGGAGTTTACAAATGATTTCTTATCATCGTACTATTTCTTGTTGAAACCAAGGCTTAGCTAAAATGACCAACATTACGTCCTTGAGGAGTTTGTAACGTATCACGCAGTATAGCTTCTTCAAGATTTTCAGTCCCAATGTTATTAAACTTCTTTTTTATTCTTTATTAAGTTTACCTTCTATTTGCACCTTAATAGCTGTATTAATTAATTTCACTTTTTAATTTATTCTGCTCTGAATTAAGAATCTGTTGTTATTGCTTACCCTGTGTTGATGTTTAGATTGTTTTTATTTTTTTAAAAGACTTTTGTGACTGTGCATCATCGCCTTCTTAATCCTCTATATTGTCTCCATTTTATTTGGTATCTTTAGCTACTTAGAAGGCTGGTGTTTATTTTATTTGAGCCATCACTTCAGTCATAACAACACCATTAAGGCTCTTTTTTTTGTTAGACTACAATTATTTGTACTTCATTACTTGCTGCTATCTTCTCTCATTTTCCATATTGTCTAATTCCTTTGATAAGATCCCAGAACCTGTACAATTACTACAAAATTAATTCCCCATATTTTGTTTTTATTTGATCTAAGTTTATCTAAAATTAGTATCAGTCATATCTTATTTGAATTAACGCAGATGGGGTTTTGGGGTTTTGGGGTTTTGGGGTTTTGGGGTTTTGGGG